TTCACAAACTATGTATTGCAACACCTATATCATTAGATGATAAAATCATTAAACAAGAACTAACTATTAATAACTTAGATTATCAAGTAAATAATAATAAAAATTATGTTGAAAAACTAATTACTAAATCTGATAATTAGATAAATTAAAATTTTAAAAATAGAAATTTAGTTACAAAAGAAGAACAAATATAAAAAATTATAATTAATAAATTAATTGAACTTAGTAATTATAAAAAACAATTTGAGAATCAGAATAATGAAATTTTATTAACAGTAATTAGAATACAAAATTTGATTTTAAGAAACAGAAAAAGCATCTTGCTAATAATAAAGCAGTCAAATAATCTTTAGATTTATTTTTTAATTTTTTTAGAAAAACTGTTATATTTTAATTTAGCTCTTAATTATAATAAACAAACTTAAAAATGCAAACACAAATATTTAGTAATTTGTTAAAATAAAAAACATTGAAAGTAGACTTGAAAAAATAAATATAAGGCATTTATTAATTAATAAATATTCATTAATCTATAGTTTATCAAAAAAAAAAGGTTATTTTATACAATTTTACTAATATACTTTTTAATTGATTTAATTTTTTTAAAAAAATTAAGATTTTGTATAAATTAATATGAATAATTGGATACTTTAAAATTAATTTAAATAAAAACATGCACAGATAAAATTTTTTTTTAAAAATAAAACTAGAGTTTAAAGATTGCTTAATTCAAAATAAAATATATCATTTATTTTATTAGAAATCAAATGCTGTATTATTAATTTTGAAGCCAAATTTGCTTTTAAGTTAAAAAAATTACTTTTATATAAATTAAATAATAATTATAAAAATAAGTTTCTGTAACTTAAAAACATCTTTAAAATAAAGCTGGTTAAAGCTTGTTAATAAAAAGTGATAAACAGTTTTTTTATAATGTATATTACAAACAAATTTATTATTACTATGCATTATATAAATAATGTATAAGTTTTTATATGAACTATTGCAATTACTAAAAGTAATTTTTATTAAACAGAATTATAACCTAGATTATAAGTTATACTAGAAATTAGAAACTGATGTAAGTCTAAAGCATAAATAAATTAATCTGTTTGTTGTTTAAAAATAGTTTTGCAATCATGTATTACATATATAAACAAACAAAAAATTTCTAAATTACAATATTAGTATGTTTAATTAAAATAATTATACTAATGCATCAAAAAAAGTTTTTATAACTTTGTATTATTTAATAAATCAATATTGATATAAGTTTAATGTAATTTTCTATGCCAATGCAGAAGATTTATATATCTATACATTTAACTAATTATTAATACAGAAGCAAATAGATAGACAAAAACATATAATATTGTTAATCACTAAGAGTCATAAAAACATAGTTTTCTCCACTTTACTCCAGACAATCATATATTATTATGACTTTATAATTTATAACTAATTATAAAGATTATAAAAGTTATAATAGGTTATATGTTAATACTGATGCTTTGAGCTTTTATTTAAAATAATGTAATTGAAAATTACAAATATACTAATTCAACTAATCAATAGAGTTAGTTACTATAATATAGATATAATTTCCAAAATTTATCATTTATGAAATTTGAACTCTAGATTTATTACTTAGAGGTTGACAATCTGACTGTTTTATTAAGTTATTATATTTATTCTTATACAAGTTATATATATATATATATAATTAAAAATATAATAAAGAAAGTAGTTAAGAGTATGATGATCTAGTAAAGTAGTTAGATTTCTAACCTCTTAAGTGGTAGGTTAAATGTTTAAATTCTATCAATAGTGAAAATTTAAATAATCATCTATATAATATTTGTATTATAGTAACTGTTATTAATGATTAGATTAGAATATCTATAATAGTGATTGTACTAATATGACTGGCAGGTTATAGAGCATCTGTATAACTTGTTATATAGAGAAATACAAATTGACAAATTAGGCAGTGCAAATATTAGATAAGTTTTTGTGACTATGTAAATCTGTTAAAATTAGTTAACAAAAACTTTATTTAGAAAGACTTGAGTAAAGAAGTAGTCAAATTTTTAATAATTTTACTAAAAGATTAGCTTGAGAAAACAAATACCAAGGTTGTAGTATCTGGTCATAGTAGCCAAGCAGATAAGAACCTCTGAGTTGGGAGTCTCAAAGGTACTACCAATCAGGTTGCTAAAACAAACTAAAGAAAAAGGATATTAGACCAATCTAATATACTAACAACCTGATCATAGTTCTATATAGATTATCTGAATTAAAAGTTTGATAAAAAGATAGATAAAAAAGCAAGAATATACTAAAGTATTAGAGTTATGCTATGAAGTAGACGCTGAAATCTGTGTAAACTCTACAGGAATACAGTAGTTAAATAATATAACTCTGATTATAAGTATTGATTCTGGTATAGTAATACCTAGATCAGTTATAAAAATAGATACAGAAGGATTTGAGAGGTTTATCTCAAGAATAAATTAATTCTAAGGTTAAGATAATGATTTGAACATTTGGGTATGACCTAATGAGTTAACACAGATTACAGGTTCAGAAAGTTTAAAATGAAACACCTAAGCAGAGATATTAGATACAGCAATTAGTAGAGAACCTTTGAGTAGACTTCTTAAATAGTAATATAAAAAAGTTACATGTGTAACCAATTGTACTCTCTTCTGTAGTTATTAACAAAATCATTAATAAAAGTCAAAAGACCAAAAAAATCACTTTAATACTAAAAAAAAATAAAATAAAAAAAGTAGTTACCATTAACATTAACCTTTGCAAAAGTAAAAAAATAAAATAAATTTTTTAATTTTTACTATTTAAGGCTGTTAAAAATCCAATCTTTTTGATTAAACTTTATAAATAAGAACTTTGATTAGGATTTGGTTTTTGAGTTAAACTTATATGGGAACCCTTATAGCAAAAGGTGACAATATGTCAAAAAATTTTTTTCTTAAAAATACAATTTCTTAAAGAATTAGAGTAATAGGCATATAATTTTTATAAAATTATAGAATCAAAATTTTTGCACATTATTACCTTTTGCTGTGATCATTCCATATATGTAATAATTAAATAAATCTCAATATAAATTAACCAATTATATAAATGTCTTTTGTTAAAATAGCATGTATTTAACCAATTATATGAATCACAAATTGAAACAAAAAACATTGTAAAAGGTAAATAGGATAAATTTAGAAATAAACCAAATGTAACAAATTATTACTTGAAAAATGGTTATAGTGCATAACATTTCTCAAAGATAATAGAAACAATTTTACAATTTGACACAATATCAAAGTAATTGTTAAGAAATATTACAAGATAAGTACAATAATTTTTAAAGAACATTATTGTATTAGGCAGTTCAAGGGTCTTTATTAATAATAATTTTATTAATTCTTTTATAGAAACACTTATCTATATTACTAGACTATAAAACTATACTATAATATAAATCTAAACTACTTTTCAAAAAAAGAAATTTCACTCTTTTTATAATGAATTGTCTATAAAAAGAGCATGTATAAGACTATGATTCTTCTTATTGTTCTCATTGAATTTCAACTATTTTTGTTCTAACTTTTGACCTTTTCATAAACACAGTTTTTGTTACTTTAACATTCCTTATGTTCTTTATAGAACTGATGAGAATGTTTCAGTACCATTCATCCTAGGATCAGAATCTAGCATAATTATTACAATCACATTCTTTTAACATTGCCTCACACTTAACCCAAGGTAAAGTGAAATCAATGTCCATTCCCAATCATAGTAGTGTGAACAGGATGGTTCAGATCAACCTTTCTTTAATTGGAGGGAGTGATGAGGTCCAACATTGAAGCTTGTGTGCTATCATATGGCTTTCTTGGGACCGGGCGCACATGTTTCAAGTGGATCGTCATGAGCACCACCAATTAGGTAAGTATGCCACTATGACGATCACTTTGGAGGTTTTTCGGCATGACGGTTTTACCTCTGACAACATGCATATGGGACTTCGTTCGGGACAAGTTTGAGTCAGTCCTAAAAAGTCCGTGTGTGAAGTCGACTCAAGAACCGGGTCCAACAAGCCTTTTAACATCCCTATTGTTATTGCAATTTGCAATTACATATGCATAACTTTCTTTACGTTATCTATAATTAGAAAATTATGCTAAGGTTTTCTTACTGCGTGTAAAACATGAAAATGGGTATATTCACTGGCTAGTCCTTTTATTCGCTTACGCAGTAAATAAAATATATCAAAATAAAATTAAACCCAAGCTAAGATTAAACTATTTTAATATAAATGTTTAAATTTTTGAAACCCTTTTTGTTAGTTTTTTTTATTAAGTTAATATTTGGGGCAGTATAATAAAAGATTAGTATGAATTTAATAGGTATTCTGGATTTAAATGGAGATCCAAAATCACGGCATATTATATATTATAGCAGTTATATAATTATTTAATAAAAAAACTTGTAATTACTATCGTTATATAAAATATACATAGTCACATAATAATGTGGCTACAACTTGAAGTTCAAAATTTAAAGGTTCGACCTTTAAAGTTGAACTGAGTTGAACTTTTTAACATCTATACCATCCAATTTTTGTGGCGAATTATTGGTTGATGAGTTAATTGTTTTTAAACTTGTGAGAACAAAATATATCAGTGAATTGATTGTAGACATGTATGATAAAAGCTTAAAAACTCAAAAATATACTCAAACCATAATCTTTATTACTTGAATTATAAAAAAAGTTTTACTAAATTAAATGCAAAAAAATATTAATAGTGGTAATATATTTAAGATCTAATCATTACCACATTACATGCATTTAAAAGTATTATATATGTAAATAAAAAAAAAAAAAGAATTTTCATATAATTTGATGAACAAAAAATCTCTAGTTTTCTAAGCCTTTTGTGTGTGGAGAATCAAAAATACATGAAAGTTGCAAATTATTTCTTTTAACAGCTATCGCATCCAATATCACATCCACCATCAACACAACCAACATCACTATCCGAAGAGACATGTAAATTACTATGACTACTAGAGCTAGAGCTAGAGGAATGACTTTCGGAATATTCGTAACTTGTGTGTGTAGGCCTGATATGCAAACGATGTATACCGTATCCATGGGTTTTAAGCGTTACATATGTGAATGGCCTTCTATAGTTGAAACCGTCACATTGATTAAGATCAACATGAATTTCTTTTTTATGAAATCTAATGGCTTTATGAGGAATTACATAACGGCCGACGGAGAGTATACAATCCTTGACTAAAACATTACATGGGATAACCATGATACGATTTTTATAATAATGCCCGTCTGAGCAGGCGTTGCGTTTGAGAAGCTGGGGGGAATCGTTAGTCAGAGGGCTTGCCAGTCCAGAGAGTACGAACCCAATAGAAATAATGCTCAATGCGACTAAGGTGACGAAAACAAATGGTTTTGCGAGCATGGTGAAGATTAAAGTTAAAAGAGAGAAAGAGCGGGAAATAGACGATTTATGAATTTGATGGTTGAAAGAAATTTTTTTTTTGTCAAGTTTGGCTTTGATGATGTTGGCTAGAATTGATGTCCTTTTATAAATTTCTCAGACAAATTGGGATGACTTAATTTTTAAAGAATTCTTGGCACTTTCTTTAGTTCTTTTGTTCTCAAAATAGTTCATGACAATTCATAATTACTAAATTTCGTAAACGTCGCATATCGTTCAGGTGGTAATTTATCAGGAGTTAATTTTGTCATTGTTGTCATGGCATTCCATTATTTATCATTTTGAGAACATTTAATGATACTAATTATTATTTAACGTTATCATTAATTTGTTTGATCTTCAAGTAAGCTAAGGTAAAATTCCAAATTTAGAATTACACATACAATTGTCACTTGTCGTGTATGGTGGATGTTCTGCAAAATTTCGATGGCAGATAATTGGCAGTGGAATACTACTTATAGTATAGCAGTAGAATACTACTTATAGTATAGCAGTAGGATGTGAGTAGGGAAATTAATTTATTAATTGGAATTTCCAGCACGTAGCAGGGCTAAAACGATGTGAACGGGGCATTTACTGTGCCACTGCCTATTGTTATATCCTTGATACATCAAAAATTATGGATAGTATTTAATCGTCTCAACAATTGATATGAATTTTTTAATATAATGTGAATCAAGAATAACCTTTATTGGATGGCCAGCATTTAATATGCCTCGTTTTAGCCCTGATACGTAGTAGCATTGTTAGCCGACTCAGCAATTGACTCATCATCGACTAACAACACCCTTAAAAACAATGATCAATTTTATTAAAGGAGTTAACTATACTATAATTCATTTCATTATCAGAAATTACAATTAACAAATTAATTGTTTGAAAACTATAATATTGAGACAACGTATGTACCTGATGTTCGGTCCGTCTATGGCACTATCAGGATGGTCATCAGGACAGAAAATACCTATTCATTTCCCGGCTATGCAGCCCATTGTTTCAAGTGTCTTTTTTGACACATTATAATAGGAGAAGGTGAAACCCGCGCTGTAAATTAGTAAAACCCGCTACGTAGATTACGTTAGGGTGAAATCCGCGTTTAGCTATGTTTGTTATTATGCAAAAGCGGATTCACCCTCGTGTGATCTGCGTAGCGGGTTTCACCCTGTCGTATTATAATAATGTAAATAATTTGAATCAAGGAACGAAATTTTGAATGGCCGGAAAATGAATAGGCTTATAGGCATAATATTTATTGGAATCACCGATTCACCGACAAGTTATTTCACAAGTTTTCTTATAAATTACACTAACCTTAACTTTAATTCTAAAGCTGCCCTAATGCAATGACCAGAATTACTTTTTCAGTGAAACGAACTTGTCAGTGAATCGAATCGTACTGTTGGTGAATTGATTTTGTATTTACTAGCACGTGATCGAAATTTGTCTTTGATTAAAGTTTGTTGGTTATCATCTTAATCGTTTTAATTCAAATTATATTAAAAATTTAATTGGCTAAAAAAACAATTATTAAAGCTATACTAAATTACTCGTGGCTTCAAATTTAAAGTATTAAGACACTGAAACAATGAGTTAACGAAATAAATGAGAATATTAGAATAGGCAAGATTAGCCCGTCCTAAAGAGTGACAATTGTATGCGTAATTCTGAATTTGGTGCTTTACTTCTGCTCTTTAAAACTTGAATAACTATTATACATGAAAAATCGCACATTATTCCACTTTTTTGGAAGGTAAAAATCTGTAAATAGTAAGGCATCAGCAGTATTTTAGAGAGAAAGGATAAACAGGATATCTGTACGTATAAATTTTAAAAAAATTTGATTGGGCGTCTTTTATATCTCGGAGGGAATGTAAGGGATTACCACTACAGTAAAACTACTACCAACACTCATAAATTCATATGCATTACTGCTTTTGTTCTACTGTAGAAAAGAAGAACGCAACATATTACACATTTATTAATATTCCGTAAATTCACTATTCCTATACTTTCAATACTTTTGCATAGAGTATCCAAAATTTTGAAGTGCATAAATTTGTTTATACTTCCTGGTTTCACTCAGGGCTAAAACGACATATAATAAATGTCGTTCTTGATTCACAAAATTTTATTGGCTCAAAAAACAATTTAATACAATATTATATGCACATAATATAAGTACTGTATTAATAAAAAATATATTATCTTGATGTATCAAAAACGATACTTCAAACAACAGGCAGTGGCGCAGTAAATGGCCACCGTATATTATATGGGTGAGTACATGCTTAGAGTATATATAATACATATACTCTAAGCATGGTTTTGCTGTGTACTCACCCATATATTGTTTTAGCTCTGGTTTCACTTGGAGATCCTCAATTTGATTCTTTCACAACGACAATACACTCAAAAATATTTTTAGCACGAACAGGTTTATGCATAATTTCAGAATATTAATTTTTGCAGTAGATTCATAATTAAGTGAAGACTATCTGAATTACTTCTAAACTACCCGTATTTCGCGGTTTAAACCACCCCTTCTTTAGAATATTCACATGCTTTTATCTTGACAATTTTAATTTTGACAGTATCATTTATTGTTATCAATATGGTATTAGCATGGATAGTATAATATATTAAACGTAAAATTCACACCATTATTAATATATATAGTAAATTCCGATCATCCAAAACATCATTTTTGATCTATTTAAATTAAAAGCAATATATTAAAAAATAACTGATACATAAAATTTTTTATTTTATTTGTTATTGTTCTTTGATCGCAATAATTATGCATCAAAAACGACACTTTGGATGACCGGAATTTACTATATTCGCTTTATTTAAAAAACACCAGTGTCGAGGGCGCAGTCACATGATTTCAAACCTCCGATTAAACGACCCTCAAAAAATGGTAGCCGGACAGATCTGCCGGGTACATGTTATTATGTGATTCGGATTTGATTATGGACAATTCAATTACTAATCAGAAAATGTCCTTAGCGTATTTATGAATTGTTATCAAACGATAAATATGGTCTCTAAGTTTTTCATAAGAATTTTTTTAATGAATAATATGAATCGCTTAAAATTTTATTGTTTATACGTTTTCTTTTGGTTATATTTGTAGGCAAATTCAATTTTTTTACAAGCATTTCTATTTTGGATCAATAAGTTAATAATTTCAAAAGATGTGCTTCATTTAGTACTATAAAAAGCGTTTATGAGACTAATCCAATGATCCAAAGGTTATAATAGATGGTAATTTATTTAAATTACCAAAAAATATTCATGTTAAAAAATAAACTGTCATATTTATTTCATTATTACTATCGTTCTAAAAATATTTAAACTTTAGATAATTTTTTGCAAGATAAAATTTTATAATTGTCGTGCCAGTTTGTTCTTGAACATGATAATTTAATTTGGTTTCGCATCGTAAAATTTTTTTACTTTGATTCCTTTTTCATTCAAAAAATCTTCATTATTTGAATATTATGACATCCTGTACAGGATTTGGGTTGTTGATCTGACATAGTAAAAGAACTTATCCGACATTTCATATGATCACGTAAATTTTTTTGCCGTGATATTTTTTGCATGAAATTACGTAATCAGTTGTTGCAAAATATCACGGAAAAAACTTCACATGGTCATATTAACTATCGGATGCATCAAATATTGGGCATACGTACGACAAATAGCAGGAAATTTTTTGTCGTCTGCCCAATATTGTATACTTATCGATATAAAAAAAATTTGTTTGATTTAAACGTACTAATGATCAAAGAAATAAATATAAAGTAGTATAAAGCTGTAAGCAACATCCATAAAAATTTTAAGCAATAACAGCACAGCAACGATGGTAGAAGAAAAAAAATTCTTATTCGTAGTGGTAATGATAATGAATTCATATGGGCGAATCGGTGGAATTTGACCTTAGCTATGGACATCAAAATTTAAATTGAACCCCATATTTAATTGGTCAAATGTGCCGAACAATTACTCGGTTATACCCTAATATTTCCAAAATAATTTTAAAGGATATAATGATTATGCAAAATCATGCGTCAAACCCATCTGTTTCCTATTGGTTAGAGCTCTACTTGGGTACATAAATTGACGTCTGAACCCTACTAGGACACATCGTTTGACATAAATTTTGTATATTATTTAGGGATGGTATCTGGTCGGCTTGGTTTAATTTGGTTTTAAAACCTCATGGTTTAAGGGATAAGCGGCTAAACTAATGTATGTGATCGTGTTGCGTGGCTTATATTTTATAGTGCTATATATAGTGACAATTTTTTTTGTCAAATTTTCGAATCAAAGAAGTGGTTTTTCAGTTAACATATTAAGTTTACTTAAAATTCTTAATTTTTATAGATTTATATTTTCTTCTAGTTTTAATTGTCTTGTGACACTATGAAATGAATTATGATTTTAGTCATATCATAGGTAATTTATTAATAATGAAAGACTATATACATATATAATATAAAGGATTAATCTTTACTAAAGATCTTTTTTAAAAAAAGAAACTTAGACATTTTTACTTATATTTCAGAAAAAACTTGGTAGAAAAGTTTATTTATACTTTGAAATTTTATTTTGGATTGAAAGTTTTTACTTTTCAAATTATTTTTTATTTAATATTATATTCAATATAATTATTATTTTTTTTTTTTTCTCTTAAGCAGTCATAATAGTACTTTATTAAACCATTTGTAGCTACATTTGTAAATACAAAATATCATTTAACTTATAAGTCTACCATCATTTGGTCACTCAAATGGTATCTAAATGTGATCTGTCATACTAATCTAGTTAGAATTAGAAATTACGACTCATCTGATCTCTGCCTTACAATAGGATACTGTCAATCTGAAGACATCTTCTCGTAAAGAAGAGAAAAACAAAAAAAAAAGAAAATGATTTTAAAGTTGGAAAAGAGA